GGGGGGGGGGGGGGGGGGGGCAGTGAGGTTGTGGGAACGCTGGTTCAGAACTGGGACAAGGAACCTGTGTGAACACGTCTTTTATCTGCTGTAATAACCATCATGACATGATGTTTCCTAAAGCAGATGGCTTCCATTAACTGCATAGCTAGGTCCTAGATTTGGCTTCTCCCACAGGCGCAAAGCAAATAATGGATAATTAAGCAGGTAGTCCTTGCTTAATGACTGTTTGTTTAACAATGGTTTGGAATTACAGTGGCCTTGGGAAAAGTGCTCTACCACCTATACTTATGGCCATTGCAAACCGTTGCACCCCCCCCCACAGTCACGTGATCACAATTTGCAACCTTTTTTACAACAGTCGTTAAGTGACTCATTGCGATCATTAAGCGAATCACACTAAGTCGTTAAGCAAAGCACATGGTTGTTAAGTGAATTCTGGCAAAAAATGTCCATTGGGGAAGCTGGATTCGCTTGATGACCACATGATTCACTTAACGACCATGTGATTCCCTTAACAACTGTTGTAAAAAAGGTCATAAAATCAGCTCCGGTCACATGACAATTTGCTTAACGACCAAATCACTTAGCGACCTAAATTCCCTATTGTGGTCGGATAGTGAGGACTACCTGTACATCAAAGCCTACATTGAAAGGTCAACTGAACATGAAACAAATCTCTCTCTAAGAACAAATCACTTCCAAAACTGGGTTGGACCAAAGGCCCAAGTCCAGCATTCTGTTGCCACAGGGGCCAACCAGATACTTCTGAGAAGTCTGCAAGCTGGGGACAGGTGCATCCCAGTTCCTGTTCCTTGGCAATTGATGGTCCTGGGAAGCAAACTGTCTCTGACAGTACAAGTCATATAGAATAGTTATGACTAGCAGGGCTGTGCAGTGCTGCAAATCTGAAGGGGGAAGTTGGCTGGGAGCATCTGTCAGCAACTCTTTTAATCAAACACATCTTTCTCCAGTATTGTGTGGCAGCAAAAGTGCAGCTGCTTTAAGGTGTTGTTTACAGATGCTGTGTGCACACCCACATGCACCTCAAATCACCTTTTCCTCTTCAAAACTGAAGCACTGCCTAGACTTAGTGGCGGCTAGTAATTGATAGGTGTATCCCCCATGGATTTGTCTAATATTTTTTAAGCTGTTCCGGATGGTAGCCATAGTAATGTATTATTATAGCAAGTTGCACATTTTGAACAGTGAACTCCAGCTGCCAGGGCCAGTGCATGCCTCCTGAGAAATATGTCAGCATATCTGACGATACACTGTATAAGGGGGGAAATTTCTTGTAAGTGGCAATAAACCCCGAAGGCAGCCTAATAAAGACTGAGCAGTAATATTAAGAGTGTGTTGGTAAAGAAAGTAGGAAAGCACATGGTAGGGACTGGAATGGGATGGACTATCCTGAAAGGAGCCGTGACTTCCTATTCAGGCTTGACCCTAAATAGGGCCACTTCAGCCAAATATTTTCTTGTAGGTCCCACCTACAAAATATAACATTAAAAAAAGAAAATGTTACACTAATATTTGATAGAATAGCTTCATGTCACAATAAAAAATGTTTTGCACAGACTTAAAAACATGATGATATTGGCTCTATTTAAAAATATATATATCTTTGTTCCACTCAGAGGAAAAAAAAAAGGTCTCAGAAATGCTCACAGAGATTTGCCTCCTAACTAAAAATTAGACCTGTAATTCAAGACTCTTTTCTGCTCTTCTCTCCTATTAGTCAATGGGGGACAATTAAATAGTCCCATTCATTGTAAGTGCATCACAAAAAACTGGTTTACATGACAGTGAAGCTTGTGGTGGTTAAGCATAGTGTGTCATCCAAATCTAAACCATGGCCAAGTTTATGGTTAATGTGGACAACCTTATCCATAGTCAGAAGTCTTACTTTAACCATGGCCCCAGGTGTGAACCAAACCCAGATGATCCAGTTCTTATAGTTTTTAAACATAAATGCAAAGGTTTGTGAGTTCAGTTCCTGGTAGAGGAATAGCATCTGGCTACCCATGTCTGAGGAGTCCCAATAAGAACAAAACTGGTCACATGTCTCCTGGTGGCCAGTGTAACAAAGCATAAGTCTGAGAGTATCTGTTGTTTTTTATTCCACACAATGTGATGAGAAGTCTTTGTTGAGACAAAGAGGGCAAGAGAAGAATTAGTCTTCCCCATCACTCATGCAGTACCTCTGAGCTTGGCTGAGGTGTCACATACCTGGATTTCA